AGTATCTCTTAAAAGAAAATTAGACAAAGGAGTATGAAGGTATGTAGTACCACTGCTATTAATAGGAAAAGCGTTACCATTTGCCACCACAATATGTTCTTGATCATTATAAAGAGATGAGTGCATGATGCTACTAGCATTTGTTGTCATGTGGTTGGTTGCACCTGTGCCAGGGTATCAAGTGGAATCATAAGGATCTGTGGAGAAGTTCATAGCAAAGAAAGCTGATGGAAAATCATCAGGTTGATAAGTGAAATTGTGGTGTTGTCGGCAATGCAAGGCATTATAACCAGCCTTGTTACAGATCTGACAAATAATAAATGAGCATTCTAGAGGGGCAGGTGTACCACGAGTATTGAAAGCAAATGTCCCACGGCCACGAGAGGCATGAGACGAACCACCTAGACGAGTTTGAGTAAAACCACCGAGACGAGTCTGAGTATCATGTTCTCTACCACCTCCTCGACCATGACCACAAGCTCGATTCCCACCGCGGCCACGGGCGGTAAAGAAAGCAAATCCAATATTTTCATTTGTTGAATAATGATATTGTTCTAACCTCTTCTCATGATTAAGAAGCATGTTGTAAAGAGCTTCAAAGGAGGGTAGCTCAGGGCTTGTGGTAACTGATGTAATCAACGAAGCATAATCAATACCAAGACCATCCAATGCATAGAAAATCAGGTTCTTTTATGAGACTGGTTGTCGTATGGCTGCCAATTCATCTACAAGAGCTTTAATTTTCTCCATATACTCGGAAATAGTGAGAGAACATTTGTGAATGTTAGAGAGTTTATATTTGACCTGATACAATCGAGCATTAGTTTGTGAAGTAAACACCCTTTCAAGGGCCTGCTATGTATCACATGCAATTGTGTACCCAACCACTTGAGCGAAGATCGCTGAAGTAATAGTTGCATGAAGCTAATTGAGAAGCAGTTGATCTCTTTTTTCCAAGCAATATACTCAGGATTTAGAGCAAGCATCTTTTCACCTGATTCGTTGACGCTCTCAATATGCTCCTTTGGAGGAACAAAAGTTCCATCTACAAAAGGAAGCATATCAGTGCTATAAAGTATTGGTAGCCACTGACTCTTCCATATCAAATAGTTGTTACGATCTAATTTGATCGTGAAATGAGAGAAATTAGGCAGTCTAGGCACAAATGGCGCAATATCCTCAGTCTTGGTACTAGAGACTGTGTTTGATGCCATTGTAAATGGTGCAAAAGAGAGAAATAACTTTGGTAGTCATAACCTAAAAATCAAGAGAATGATGAATAAGCATTGAATAAGATAAGAGAGAGAGGCGGTGGTTATAAGAGGAAGTCCAAGTACAAAGAGAGAGAGATGGTGTTTATAAGAAGAACTTCAAGTATAGAGAGAGAGACGGCGGTTAATGTTTTGGGTTGTTGGTGGTGGGACACGTAACTAAATGGCAATAAAAAAAATTATCGATAGAGAGAGAGAATGAAAAAAGAGAGAGATAAAGAGGCTACCACCAAAATAGGGAAGCTCTCAAGAGAAAGCAGTATCAATGTCGAAGGCCTAGGTCTATTGCTCTGATACCATGAAGAGAATTGTAATTATCCCTTAATTAATTGAGTGGTACAACAATGATATATATAACATGATACAACAACAACTTGATAAGGATCCTTGACTGAGTAAATAAAAGATATGTGTAACAATCAATATTTACAACAAACCAAGATAAGTCAAAGATATGTTAACCACTCAAAAATCTCTTTCAAATTCAAATACACTTTCTCTCAACACCAGTAATAAGACCATTAAGTCATAAATTTATGAAAATTATGAATTACAAAAAGTGAAAAAACATAGTCAGACACTTAAATGTACTATGTGTTAGTAAAAACTACCTATAGATTTTAATTTTTGATCCATCACTCTTTTAAATTCTTCATTTCTTGGAACTTTCCTAATGCTTTTGAAGAATCTTGCATATTTTCTATCAAGAAATAGAGTTTTGGAAACTGATACTAAACTTTGCTTAAAGATTTTGAAAAATGAAACCAAGACTTTGGTATGGGAGAACCCCACCAAGGATTGGGCCTCAACTGGCTCGCATACGCTTGGGCAAGATCCTCACAATAGACCAACCACGTTGCTAGGTCACTAGACCTTGAATTAGTGTTGTGGTCTTTCTCATGTACCGAATAGCAGGTAGTGCCTCTCACAAACAGAGGCTTATCTATTATAGAAATCGAGTTGTCCTTTTCTTTCTTTTTCTCTTTTTTTTTCTTTTTCTCCTTTTTTTTTTTTTAGGATGTTAACTTTGGATGAGTAGGACTGGAAGTTTATTTTTTCAAAATGTTGAGTTTGATTGGAACTCTCAACATCACGTTGTAGCTCCGCTTGCGTAACCACTCTTCAACCATTCTTCCAAGTGGAAGAATCGTGGTCCCTGTTTTAACCTGATCTTAACTCTATGGGGATCTTTGGAGAGAATGGAAATCTATAATCTTCAAAGTTCCAAGTTCCAACATTGTCAATTACTCACATGTAGATATTCGCAACATGGTTATCAAAGTTCTGAAATTGTCAATTTTGGAACTGAGTTCTTATTTTGGACCGTTTCTTTCAATTTCTTCAAAAATCACTAGATATATTGTATTTGGATATCTAAATTTATGGATCCATCCAGAAATTGTTTTGCAATGATCTAGAATGTGTTTTGGATCCTAAACCTCTTGGAAACCAATTTGGGGTATGGTTCAGTAAGCTGACTCACAAAAAGCTTTTCATTCAATAAAGAATCCACAATATATTTAGCAGTTTTTGAATCAAAAACACTGGTCAAGTACTCAGCCCATGCACTAGCCAAGTACTCAACCTGAGTTTGAGTAACTAACCCCGAGTTCGGCTGAGCATTGTAGTAGAAAAAAGGAGTTAAATTTTAAAAAAAAAATCAAAAACTAGGAATATGTTTAAAGTAAGATTAAACCAAACACATTTAAATGAGGTTAAAAAAGAACTAAAAAGTTAGATTTTGAAATATTAATTTGTATCCAGAGGTATTTTCAAAATATTTTAAAAAAGATAAAAAAATGTAAAAATAACTATTCATGGTAAAAAAATATTTTCAATCTTTACCAAAATGATACAACACATAAATAAACATATTACAATTTTTTTTAATTTTTCATAAACTTTTTTGAATTTTTTTAAGATCCCCTAGTTGGACATGCAACTCTTCCGCCTCCAAGACATCAGTCCAAGCTGACTCGCCACTTACATGTAGTCGTAATAGCCGGCAATTTGATCAATTGGATACCATGGGCCGGCAGAATTGTCCACCCCTCCAATCGTCTTGCAACGGTCTTGAATTGGTCATTGTCTCGCATTAGAAGGAATTAAATATTTGACTCGGCCCTATGTACCCACAAGGCCACAAGGGATTTCGGCACCATCGCACAGGCCAAGGTTTTCAAAGATGGACCATGACTCATCATCCATTCAGAAAATTGGTCCAGATTGACGATGGTCCAGATTGACGATGTGGCTAACTAGTCAAAAAAAATTTTAAAAAATAGATTATAAATTTTTAAAAAAAAATTTGAAAAAATAAAATGCGACTACTTCTCGATATTTTGCTAGAACAAGACCGGCCTTGACAATTTCTGACTTGAACTGGCTCATTCGTTGATTTTTAAAACTTAAAGCCAAATTGTAGAGTTAACTTCCCATATCAATATTTTGTAGGAAAATATTAATTAAATGGTCAAACTATCTTGCAAAATCAACGAGGCACCGTTCGATTATCTAGCTAAGATTGGGGACTACCCGCCACCACCATTGCCATTATTCCACCATCACTACCACTTCAGCACCACCCCACCACAACCACCACCACAATCGCATCATACCATAACTATTATCGTACTATAACCCTATTATCACACAATCACTACCATCACCACCATCACACCATGTAATAACAATTTATAACTCAATTTGTATCAATCAAACATTCATAGAAAATAAAGGACAATTGACCAAATTTCCATTTAATCAACCACAAATTTAAAAAACACCACAGAATTGTGCAATCACAAATTTAAAAAACACCCCAAAATTGTGCAATCTAATGGCCCATCAATAAGTTTTGAGATTATCTATAAAGAGACCATTTATCTTTTGTACAAGGAGGTCACAAATCCGAATTTAAAAAAAAAACTTTTTGTATATTCAATGACACTATAGCAATCACCCATTTTGAAATTTAAGAGACATGCGTAGAGGCTTAGTAGAAAAGTCACTATTGCAACCACCTTGATCATATACGCAATGAGAAATTTAATAGTCACTCTTCTATTTCTTCTTAGAAACTAACCATAGAGGTTAGTAGAAATGACTATGGTGACTGAGTGAAACAATTTCCTCTGCTCTCTTTTGCTTTTTTGTTTTTTCACTTTACTTTTCATACAGTCACTGAAAATATAGTTAACATTCAAAAAAAAAAAAAAGGTAAAACCACTGCTTTTGAAGCTCCAGTTTCATGGATTTGAGGCAGAAATGGATTGCAGTGATTGTGATGTGTTTTGTTCTAACGTCCTTAAAATTGGACATACATGTTGCTTGTTAATGTTAAAAGAAAATAAAAGATTTACCAGTCGCTGACTCACGAAATACTTTAATTTAATCTAATAATATATTCACATTATACGCTATCAATGCATATAGACAATAAATAGAGACAAATAAAACTACAAGAAAAAATGCAACATAAATTTTAGTTCAACATTGAAATGTATCCCACCACATTTGTACCCTTACTGAGTGTGACTCTTTTCTCAGGCCTAATTTTTCAAAGAGACTCTTTCCAATACTTTTGAGTCACCCCTTTATAATTCCTTCCGCACAAAACAAAGAATTTAATTTAAGAATATATAAGAGGAAACAAGTGCCTTATAAACATATTGAAATCAGCACTTACATTCAATATCTATCATACTCCAATGCAACCCTAAAACAAAATCCATAAGCTTTCCTCAAAAGCTAATATTTTCTCCATGCACTGAGTACAATTAATGGCACTTTGGGTCACTTTACACACCACTTCTTATTTAATCTCCCAATCAATCTCAAAAATCCCATTTCATATGTTACTTGCTATAGTAAATGGCATTTAGGGCCTCTTTACATACCATTTCTTATTTGATCTCAAAAAATCCCAATACAAATCAATCAATTAGTATATAATCCCAACTCAAATGAAACAATAATCAGTATTAATTCAATGAATAATAAAACTCCTTTGATTCCATCCACTACCATGCCAAGCCATAGAATTGGAAATCCCACCATTACTTGAATAAAGAGGAGGAGAAATGTTCAAAGAAGCAGCAAAAGGATCCCCTTTAATCCCCTTATTGCCTGCATTCAAAACATAATTACCATAAGTAACCCCATTTCCCAATTGAATCATTTCAGGAGCATGGGCAAATTCGTCATTGAAAACCACCCATTTCTGTGTAACAATTGTCTTGGACTGCTTCTCCTGTCTTTCTCTCTCTTGCCTTTCTCTCTCTTGCTTCCCATGTTCCAGATTTGGACCTGTGCTCAAACCCACATTGTGATTTTCATATCCATTATGAACCACCAGCTGCTTCTCATGTTCCAGATTTGGACCTGTGCTCAAACCCACATTGTGATTTTCATATCCATTATGAACCACCAGCTGCTTCTCCTTTTCTCTTTCTCCTCTTCCTCTTTCTCTCTCTACTCTCCCCTTCTCCACTATTTGAATCTCTGAAACCCACATTGCTGTTTTCAATGGGAAACCATACACAATTTGCTCGAGGTCACGAATGTCCTGTTCTGGTA